ATACCATTTTTCTGCACCCTTTGTGAATGTCCATGTAACAGCAGTCATATTTTTCGACTCCATATTAAAAAACTCTGGTCTAAAGATAAAAAAAAAACCTTGATAAAGCAGTGTTTTCGATATCTTCTAAGATAACAAATATATTTTTTTTTAATGTTTTGTGTCTAATTTGCTTCTGTTTCCGTCTGAATATCTGAGATAAGGTGTTATCTTTATTTACACTCTTTACATCCGGGCTATTGTCATCTTTCGACCGATGTGCCATCTCGCCTTCCTCTGGTGTATATCAATCTGGGTAACCTTTAGACAATTATGAACTGAACCCTTTATTTAGTGTACGGAGGCACACTGTTCTCGTTGCACTGCATCTAGTAATGGATTCATTCTTATACCTACATTTGTATTACTTTAAACGTTATTATAGTGGAGACTTCGTATTTGAAATAGACGCCCTGTTTTTATTTATTCAACAGTGTTTATTACGTCGATTAATCTGCGCATTCGAGAATTCTTAATGAAGAGGTCGAACCTGCGTTTTCCTTTCTCGGATAATCTGTCGCGTGATCCATTGTGCTTTATTAAAAATGTTCGATGTCCAATAGCGGATGAAGAGGGCTACGCCTAACGGACATGCTACAGAAGGTGTCCCTCGAAATTATAAAAGTCAGCAATAGTCCGTTGCAGTTTCATAACTGGATTCTGGATGTCTCATTCCATATCTGCCTCAGAGGAAGGCCATGAAATGAAGTGTGTAGGTGTTGTAACCTAGAAAAGTTTACTGAATAAAGAATAACTAAAACGGTGGTTGGAGATGAAATGGTAATCTTTATAACATCAACAAAATACAATACTCGCCAGCGGTGTGAACTAGGTAAACCACTGCTAGCGGTGGATTACTTAGACGGCATATTACCTCCACTTACAATAGTGTCCAACGTAATTATGAGGATTGGGACATATCCATTAGTGTTCATAGATACGGTGTATAAGAGTAGATCACTTCCTAGCAAGATCAGGTCCACCTTAAACAAATTCACGCCATCGGCAATTTTATCTTTGATTTTCTTTCACCTTCATTTAAATCTTGCATATCCAAAGGGCAACAGAGAATGAATGTCGAGACTAGACTTTTGGGGAAAGTGGAAACTTCTAGTCCTTAATATGTTTGTTGGCAGTGAATGTAATCATGAACAACACCATTATCATAAAGAAAGTAATTAGCAAAGAAGAAATTACATTCTTGTATACGAGATAAAGCCGACGATATATATATATATATATATATATATGAATTCATTAGCATGTATTTAGATTTGTTATACACACACACATATATATATATATATATATATATATATATATATATATATATATATATATATATACACACTCATTTTGTGTTATGTTAGAGATAAAAAAAAGTAAGTAATGCTCAACAAACAATGATTTTTCTGCAAGGATTTCATTGTAAAGTAGTCTGGAAAAAATAATGTAAAAAAAATTGATTCATTAAAAAGAAACTCATTTTCTCAAAAGATTTAATACTTTTCTGTCTCCGACAGAAAACTTCCTTTTTTTTTTTTTTTTTTTTTTTTTTCGCCTTCCTCATTTTTTATATTTTCAATTTCATCCACTTCAACTTTTAATAAGAAAAGGGGAAAATTCCATTTCATTACAGTGATTTCATACCTATTGCCTCGTTAATCGATATATTGACACAGAGTACATACATTTGTAAATATTTAATTCCATAGAAACCTTGTCCATCAGATGATTTTAAGTCTTAAAAAAAAGGATGGGCTTAACTTCGAAAAACAAGCATGATAGAAGTTCTGATTCTGTTTAGAAACCAGTTTTCGTGTCTGTTTTTGATAATGTTTCGTTGTTTATTCCCATCATCATAAAATACTGTGTGGATGACTGAAATAGTCGTGACTTGTTTTTATAAAGCCCAAAACAAGAGTTTTTTTTTTGGGGGGGTTATATATGTATGAAGAATATTGTTCGAAACTCTACATAGTCTATAAAGATGAATTTATTTGGATAAAACTAGGCATTAATTCCTGTTTTTGTCGAGTTTTACATCAGTAATGTTGCGTTAATTCCCTTGGGAAAGGTATGAATCCGCCTTTTCTCTCTCTCTCCTCCCCCAGCTATGGGTAAATAGCAGGACAGGCCGGGTTCTATATCCTTGGATAGCAACTGGTATACTGCAGAAAGAAATGGCAACCTACTGCGGGAAAAAAAAATCTGCCTCGTCAGTGATGTATCGAATAATCGCCTAAGCGTGTATCACACATGGCACATAACTAACTGAATGTTTTATGGTTCGGGATACTATGAGCTTCATGACTTACCAAAAATTATTAACATTGCAACTAGATATTTCTCAATTTTCTTCTGTTAAGTTTTCTTTTTCATGTTTACAACACATTTAGAGAAAAACGCGTGTATGATCAGGGTAGGTGGTAAATCCTCTTTACTGGGGCACAACTTAAGA